ATCAACAACAAGCTTTAACATCCAATCAACTACAAGCTTTAACATCCAATCAACGACAAGCTTTAACGTCCAATCAAAAACAAGCTTTAACATCCGATCAACAACAAGTTTTAACATCCAATCAACTACAAGCTTTAACGTCCAATCAACAACAAGCTTTAACGTCTGATCAATAACAAGCTTTAACGTCCAATCAACTACAAGCTTTAACGTCCAATCAACAACAAGCTTTAACATCCAATCAACAACAAGCTTTAACATCCAATCAACAACAAGCTTCAACATCCAATCAACAACAAGCTTTAACTTCCAATCAACAACAACCTTTAACTTCCAATCAACAACAACCTTTAACATCCAATCAACAACAAGCTTCAACGTCCAATCAACAACAAGCTTCAACGTCCGGTCAACAACAAGCTTTAACGTCCAATCAACAACAAGCTTTAACGTCCAATCAAAAACAGTGGGATTCAAAAATTACCCAATCAGGATCAGGCAAGCAGCGCGGCGGGAAACAGGCAGCTCCCCCGCGGAGCCGCAGAGCGACAGGGAGGCGGCAAGCAGCCGCGTGCGTCCGGGCGCCGCCATTTTCCCCATCACGACTGCTCTGTTTTAACGCCTTCGTCCCCGAATCCCCTGTAACGTTGGCTTAACGCGGGGGCTGAAACACGCCTACGCATGTGTGCCTCTCCGAGTCTCCCCATGTTCGCCATTGGGGATCCCCACGCGAAAACACGCTCTCCCGTTTATCTTCTAAGCCGAGCAGCGGGGCCATCGTCCGGGGTTGGCGTCCCGGCGCCCGGCCAGGAAGACGCACAGACGTGGGGTTCCGGGCATGGGACACGTCTCCTCCTGTGGCCGCACGTTGCGGATCTCCTCGGGCCCTGGGACCCTGGGCTCCCTGACCGACACGTGACCGGCCGCCTGACAAACTCCCCGGCAGAGCGCAGGCGCCAACACGGAAGTCTCTAGAAGCATCTGGAAGCTTCTCCATCTGCCCTTCCCTGACCGCCACACGGGGCAGGGGGGAGGAAAGCCTCACGCCAAACCCACACGCTCACACAGAGTGGGCCCCCGTCATCTTCGAGCCTCCACTTGGTTCGAGGTTCTCTCACTCCCCCTCCAAAAAAATAAATAAATAATAAAGAATTAATTTATTCTTAGTCCCCAACTTTTCACGTCGGAAAATGTCGGGCCTGCCAAGACGTGGCGAGACTTTTACTGAGGGCGGCTGCGTGCGCTTTATCTAGACCCGGCGTTTCTGGCCAGGTTTTCTTCCGAGTCTCCCCTCTGTCTCCACGAGCGGTATGAAATTTTGTGCATCACGCGGGCGGGCCTTTAGGCTGGACGTTCCGGGGACCGGCCGCACCACCCATCAGGGCACTACATCTCTAAACACGCCAGCGAAATGCACCCCCCAGGAGCGAGAGTCCTCTGCCATAGACGCGTGCAGGACGCCTGCACCAAGGGAAACCACTGTCTGATGTGGGACTCATATTTGAATTTCCCCGACTGTCTCAGCATGGTCTATGACGGTCGGTTTTTCTCCATCAAGGATCCTAGGCTGCATCTGGCTGTCATATGGCCTTCGCCTCCTTTAAATCTATCAGAGTTTTCTAGGCTTTTGGGGGATGGAATGGGATCTTTTATTTATTTATTTTTTTTGAGACAGAGTCTCACTCTGTTGCCCGGGCTAGAGTGAGTGCCGTGGCGTCAGCCTAGCTCACAGCAACCTCAAACTCCTGGGCTCAAGCGATCCTCCTGCCTCAGCCTCCCTAGTGGCTGGGACTACAGGCATGCGCCACCACGCCCGGCTAATTTTTTCTATGTATATATATATTTTTAGTTGGCCAATTCATTTATTTCTATTTTATAGTAGAGACGGGGGTCTCGCTCTTGCTCAGGCAGGTCTCGAACTCCTGACCTCGAGCGATCCTCCCGCCTCGGCCTCCCAGAGTGCTTGGATGACAGGAGTGAGCCACCTGTGCCCGGCCTTCCCTGGAAAAAAGTTTTCTTAACTTTTATGCTACAAGTCTTTCTTTCTATGACATTAAACCCCAGCACTTCGTGGTCAGGGGGATGCCACAGCCTTGGGGCCAAACAGTTATTTTTCGGGATCATTAAAACTATGTCTTTAACATGGTGAATTTAATAAAAAGTTTTAAAGATAATTAAAACATGCACATGTTAACATGTATAACATATAAAACACCCGTACGTTGATTACTTATTTGGTAAGGTGATTTGAATCTATTCCTTCCAAATTTATTTACGTCTGTACTAACGCAGCTACGTAATTCGGACAAACAACATCGGAAGGCTTTTTAAGGACCCAATCACCAACGCACTACCTACCACTACGAGAAATAAAATGCATCCACGGGAAGAGCAATGCTTAAAGAAAACATCTATTTTCATCAAACTTGCTGAAACCGCGAACCTTCCTACCAGGACCTGCACAGTCCCCAAACACAATTGTTTTTTTGTCACATCGAATTTCAATTAGTCATCGTGATACGGCTGAGAGACTCTGTAACAACAATCAGCAAAGACTCCGTAGGATCCTGCCCGAATTCTTGGCATTTTTCTCATTGCTTTCTGCAAAAGCACATTGCACGGGAAGCCGATCACAATGGAAACAATCGGGGAATTGTCACCGGGCCACATACGTCCTCAGCTTTGTGTGCATGTGCGTGTGCGTGCGTGTGCATGTGTGCATGCGTGTGCATGTGTGTGTGCATGTGCGTGTGCGTGTGTGCGTGTGCGCACATGTGTGCATTTGCCAAGTCCCTTCCAGAACTAAGATTTGGTCCTCTTCCTCATCTTCCACCTCTTCCTTTTTCTACACATCAATCCAACCATTAAAATTACTTGCGGAGACAGTTACGGAACGTATCGGGTGCATGGAAAACATCCTGCTTCTGACCACACGTGAACATGCGAGTTTTTATGGATCGTATGCAGGCAGGCTCGGAAGGGCGTGCACGGGCTCTGTTTAAACAGCTCTCCAGACCACAGGCCATCACCCGAGTGCCCCATTACATCTTCAGAATAGCCGGGTCTACAGATGCGGTATTTCAACCCACGTGGATTTTTTTTAAATATTGCAGAGAGCAAATTTATTACGGAAGTGCTGCTTTCTCTTGGAATTCCCTTTCTCTCTGCCCACCCTCCCCTCCACTCCAGGGGAATGCAGTGAAGAACTAAAATGAGAGAAACTGTAATTAAAATCAGATTCTTCCCCTGAGGGACGGAGGGGTCAACCTAATTATCAGCCTGTCTACCCCAAAACGAATTTACCTCTTTAAGAAAGGAAGGTCTTTATCACTCATGGGAAAAAAAAAAAAAACATAAACAAAAATTAAGATGCCACTCGGGTATCACTGTAATCTTTCATTTTTAAGTGACCTCTTAGTCTAATGGATTCAGTGCATTCTCATTCAAGTGAAATGTGTTTTGCGCAGGGGAGGACTGTTGATAAATGGTACTGTCATGACCCTTAGGTTAGAGCAAAGGAACATTGGAAAATAAATCTCAATCCCGTATACTCACCAACCCTGCAATGGGGGTGGGCAATCTATTGATCTTCCTAACAAGTCCTGGTTTTATAGTGTTCAGCAACCTGTCACGAAAAAAAAAGGCAGAATGTCAAGTGAGGAGCCGAGCAAGATGGATCACACAAATCACCTTCATCCGGGGCCACAGCTAAATCGCTGGGTAGGAAAAGCGGTGCTTTGAGAGCAGGTGGTAAATCCCAGTCATCTATCTATCAGCCTTCGTGCACCTGAGTAAGGAGCTTTGCCGATGTCGGGTCTGTCCGAGGCAGGTGAAGTTTCGGAATCTGGAAGAGTTGGAGGGAAGAAAGGGCAGAGACTGGGAGGTGCTTCAAGGGAAAAGGCAAGGCTGTGAACCGGACTGAGGTCGGCAGGGAATTGTCTAGAACCGCAGCCAGGTATATTACAAGCCAGGTGCGGCCGGCTGCCAATCCTCCTGGCTAAGGCTGGGCTCCCTGCAGGGACGTGCTAAGTTTAGACACCAACATCTATCTCTGCAAGTGACTTTGCCAAGACAAATTCTACCTCCAGACCCTCTTCGTTCTTGGAGGAGAGTGGCTTGTTAAATGTGGCTGAACTTCACTTTAAAAAAAAAAAAAGTGTGGGGGAGAGAATATATTTAATAAGACGTTAACCAATCGTATTCTGAAAATTTTTAACAAGGCTGACCATGATTCCCTAGTTACAAAAGATATTTCAGCAAAAGATGTTCAGGGTAAAGGTTGAAATTATGTAAAAAAAAAAAAAAATGATACAAGCAAGGGAAGGCAAGAGAAAGAACCATAACTTCTTGGTCTTCAGGGAATACTGATTCAGGGTGAAGAGAAATGATAAAGGCAACTTATAAAAATAAAATCCAGTTAGCATCACGATGATAGGGTAGAGTACAGTCTTTGAAGAACAGGTTATTCTGAAAGTACCACGTTTCCCCGAATATAAGACCTCCCCATAAAACAAGCCCCAGCAGGATGTCTAAGCATGTGCGCCATAGAAGCCCCTACCCCGAAAATCAGCCCTAGTGGCAGGCGTGGCTATGAAAATCAGCCCTGGTGCTGGGCGTGGCTATGAAAATCGCCCCTAGTGATGGGCGTGGCTATGAAAATCAGCCCTAGTGGTGGGCGTGGCTATGAAAATCAGCCCTAGTGGTGAGCGTGCTATGAAAATCCACCTAGTGATGGCCTGCGCTGTGAAAATCAGCCCTATGACGGGCGTGGCTATGAAAATCGGCTACGTACGGGCGTGGCTGTGCAGCGCATCTGCACAACCCGTGCGTTCGTCGCGGACGCGGAAAGAACACGAGGAGCCCTTCCCATCTGCCCATCGTGACAGCTGCTACCCCAGAGGGGCCGGAAAGGTGTGGGCAGCCCCCACCAACAACGGTCGCTCCCCTGTCGGGGCGCTACCCTGTGCGTGCTGCAAGCTGAGGCTTTGAGGGGCAAATAACACATCCCCTGAAAATGAGCCCTAGGGTGTCTTCTTGAGGACAAATAAATATAAGACCCTGTCTATTTTCGGGGAAACAAGGTAGATTCCTTAAAGGAACAATTGTGGAGACATTCAGGAAGGATGCTGACATTCTGTTTCAAGCGCACGCTGCATTTGATAACTCTTTATGTCCCTAACGTCCTGGATGTGGCAGCCTCTCGACTGTTGTTCAATGGTTATAAAATGCAAGGTGAAGGCATTTTTTTTTCTTCTATCTGCAACTTTTTTAAAAAAAATCTTAAACCCCTAGTCTGGGAGACAGAGGTTCTGTTTCATATAGACTCTACCAACAGCCCATACTACAGGTCTCCAAGGAGTACGGTGCTAACAATAACTGCTAGGAAAGACACATTACTGGCCGGGCACGGTGGCTCACGCCTGTCATCCTAGCACTCTGGGAGGCCGAGGCGGGAGGATCGCTCAAGGTCAGGAGTTCAAGACCAGCCTGAGCAAGAGTGAGACCCTGTCTCAAAATAGAAAAAAAATTAATTGGCAAACTAAAAATATATAGCCAAAAAAATCAGCCGGGCGTGGTGGTGCATGCCTGTAGTCCCAGCTACTCGGGAGGCTGAGGCAGGAGGATCGCTTGAGCCCAGGAGTTTGAGGTTGCTGTGAGCGAGGCTGACGCCACGGCACTCTAGCCCGGGCAACAGAGTAAGACTCTGTCTCAAAAAAAAAAAAAAAAAAAGACACATTACGAGACCTTCCAGACATTGGGAATCATACCAACAGACAGCTTATAAGTTATTGGACCATAATACCAACATTAAAGGCAACATTTTTTAAAAAATTGAGAATCTTAAAAGGATTGCACTGACTCTACGACGTCATTCTATTCAGAAACTCGATTCTAATAATTATCCTGGACTCTGGGGCGGAACAGTGGAACCATCTACACCTTAAACACAGGGTTGGGAAGTTCAAGCTTAACCTCGTGGGAAATCACTTTACTCCTTTGCAACGGGAGATTACGTCACCGTCTCATTAGCTGGGTTTGCACAGCTGCAGCAGGCACTATGATCAAAATAAAATCACCCACGCCGCGTCCCTTTTAATTTGGCTCAAGAGTGTTTTTCTGAGAGGTTTCCTTGATCACTTTCTGGGTTAGGCTGCCTGCCCTGCATGAAGGTATGGGCACTTTCATTTCATCTGACTCAGGCATCTGCTTTTCAACCTGAGCCCGAGATCACAGTGTATGTAGCCTCGATCCTAAACCTGTTAACAGGTGTCATTTCTGAAGATTTCCTTTTTGGAGTCGCCTCGGCAAAACCGGGAAAATTAATAAACCCTCTGAGGTCAAGAAAATATTCACCAAAATATAGGAAAGAGGGAAACCTGAAGCAAAGAGGAGTTTCGTACGGGTAAAAACAGTGCCGGCACGCAAATGGCCGTGATTGGCGTCTCCCAAACGTTTGTGGGGTGTCAGGCATTGTCCAGAATGTGTGAAATGTGGGTTGTACTTAAGCCACTTGGCTTGAGCACACCTAAGACGAGACCACAGGACATTTATAGAAGGGCTCTGGAGACTCGGAATTCCAAGAATTTGGGCCTGACCCTGTGAGGCCAGGGCTCAGCCATGCTCCTATTATCCTAACACAGCACCCATGCTAGGGACTGCTCCCCAAACTTGTCTCCTATTCTCCTGGGAACAGGTAAACTCTGTTTCCCTGCGTCCTCTGCCATTGGCTGTAGCTATCTACCATGTTTCCCCAAAAATAAGGCCTCCCCATAAAACGAGCCCCAGCAGGATTTCTGAGCATGTGCGCCATAGAAGCCCTACCCCGAAAATCAGCCCTAGTGACGGGCGTGGCTGCGCAGCGCATCTGCACAACCCATGCGAGTCGTCGCGGAGCGGGAAAGAACACGAGCAGCCCTTCTCATCCGCCCCATGAGAGCTCTAGTGCTCCACAGGAGAGATCGGGGCTGGTGGTTCTAAAGGAAACAGAGTCGCAAGACATTCAGGATGGGATCCGGGGTCTGGAGAGTGAGGATGATGTTCCAGAATAAGACGACTTCACTCTATTTGAATAAATGTAGATGGTTGCACCGTACTTGAAAAAAAAAAATAAATAACACATCCCCTGAAAACAATCCCTGGGGTGTCTTCTTGGGGACAAATAAATAGAAGACCCTGTCTTATTTTCGGGGAAACATGGTTCATGCCATCGTCTTGGTGCCATGTAGTAATTATCTATCAATGACTGTAATTAGCATTTCTCTCGCACAGCGAACACCCAGTCATTGCCAGTTTACTGTCAGGAGGGCGGAAAGATGACTCGAAAAGTGACACCGATGTGTCACAGCTCTGCGGGCTCTCGGTGTCCCGTCGTGGGAGGGGGTGAACGGCCAGCTCCTTGCTCCCAACACTTCTTGTTAGCAGGAAGTTCTCAGAACCAAGAGTTCCCGGAGGCTTGGGATCCACGAAACTTCAAGAGCGGTAGGTGGGAGCCTCCGGAGACAGAAAGGCCCTGGGTTCGAATCCCAGCTCTGTGACTCCCTGGGCAAGTCATTTAAGTATGTTAACCTCTGTGTGAGCCTCGGTCTGCTCCTCTGCAAAATGGGCGCAAAAACACCTGCTCGCCACAGCGTGAGAGTGTGGAGTGAGCAAAACCACGCATACGACGCACTTGGCGCTGGGCTGGCGTGCGCTTTGTAAGGGCCGGCATCAGGATCTGCTCCTCCAAGCAGGCTTCGAGCCCAGCGCTCCCCCGGGTGGCAGGTGGAAGGCTGGGGTGTCGGTGCCGGGCTCACTTCCCCTCTGAGCAACCTCCACTTGGAGAGAAGAGAGACCAGGAGTGAAAGGAGGAGACGCCGAATATTTTGGAGGGCAGACGCCACGGGAGCAAAGCCCGTGCCCAGGCAGAGAGCGGCAGAACGACAGGGGCTGAGGAGGAAGGAAGGAATTAAGGGAGGAGGCTCCAGGCCGGGTGTGGCGGCTCGCGCCAGTCATCCCAGCTCTCTGGGAGGCCGAGGCGGGAGGATCAATCGAGGTCAGGAGTTCGAAACCAGCCTGAGCAAGAGCGAGACCCCATCTATGCTATAAAATAGAAAGAAATTAGCTGGACAACTAAAAAATATATATAGAAAAAATTAGAAATATACATAGAAAAAATTAGCCGGGCGTGGTGGCACATGCCTGCCGTGTGGGCCACACGAGGCTCCGAGAAGAGCAGTCCTGCGGGGAAATGAACGCCGAGGTCTAAACAAGAGACCAGGAAGAAAACATCAGAGACACAGGCTGTGAACTATAGCGTCTCCCCAAAAATACGGCGGGGTCTCATGTTTATTTTTCCTCAAGAAGACACCCCAGGGCTTATTTTCAGGGGATGTGCTATATTTTTTTTAAGCACGGTACAACCATCTACATTGATTCAAATAGAGTGAAGTGGTCTTCTTCCGGAACATCATCCTCACTCTCCAGACCCCGAATCCCATCCTGAATGTCTTGCGACTCTGTTTCCTTTAGAACCACCGGCCCCGATCTCTCCTGTGGAGCACTAGAGCTCTCACGGGGCGGATGAGAAGGGCTGCTCGTGTTCTTTCCCGCTCCGCGACGACACGCATGGGTTGAGCAGATGCGCTG